GGAAATATGGTGGTGATAAAGAAGGAACCGGGCTCGCCACGAGCAAAGAGAACAAAGCAGACTTGAGGGCAAGTCAATTCTCGAAGGGGGGGTGATGTGACGATTCGGCCTTAAGCCTTGATTAGTCACCCATTTACCCCACCAGGCAGGGCAAATCACTTCGCCTAATCTTGGTCCTATCTTGGTCCTATCCTGGCCCTATCCGATAGGACCTATAAAAGCCCTCTTCAGGCTCACTCTTTGTACAGTAGTTTGTTATTCTCTAGTTACGATAATTGATTCATCCTATCACTATGACTTGACTCCGTTGCCGTCACAGATAGAAGCAAATTCTTAGTATCAAAAAAATCAATTTCAAATCTGTATAAGATCTTCTTTATATAGTTCGACTAGTATATCTTAAATAATCGATTCTATCGATAGTACTCTATCTGAATACCTAGGAATATACTAGTTTCACCCAAATCTTTGTATTTCTATTTACTTGAAATTATCTTTTTCATTAAATTCATATTAATATGATTTCCTATTATTAGCAAATCATCTATATATAATAAAACATACATTCCCTTTCCTATAAAGAGATTTGAATCTATTATGAATTCCTCAAATCCAATCTCTTTAAAGAATCTTCGAATAACAATCCACCAAACTCTTAGCACTTGTTTTAGTCTATAAAGTGACTTTTTCAGTTTGAGATATAGTTTGCTTTTGAATTTAATCTCAAAAAAGATTTCTTTGAAAAATTCTAATACTTTTATAAGGATTTCTATATCCATTAGCTTATTATTCAAAAAAGTAGTATTAATATCTATATTATTGATCTCTAAATTTTCTATAATAATTTTGATTAACAAAATATATAATATTGAATATCTTGTTATACTAACAAAGGTTTTTTAGAAATCTATTTCATATTTTTGAAGATATTCTTAATTACTAATCTTATTTTTCTTCTAATTAATCTATTAAATTGATTTAGTTTATTTCTTAGAATATATTTACTACTTAATAACTTTCGGTTTATAAATATAGTTCTATTTATAATTTCAAAGATATTATTATTCTTTAAACTTTATAATTCAGATTTAATTACTTTTATCTATACTTAAATATCTCCTCACATAGTATCTTCAAGCTTTATTGATTCTTTAAATATTAAATTAAAATTACCAACTAAATAATCTTTAGAATATACAAAGACAATATATAATATAATTATATACTAAATAACCTGATTACTAAAAATCTTTCTCAATCATTTCTTACAATTCTTATTCAGAGTATCTCAAATCAGAATAGTTATTAAAACAAATCTAACTCTTAAAATCTCTATAACTATTTGTACTCTTTATTTTGAAAATAAAGATATTTATATATTTTATATAAAGTATTTAGTTCCCTATAATTGTTACTACTATAATATTCACAAAGAATAAATCCAAGCTTTCTCTTACTCTTTTTGAATCTAAACTTCTATTCACTTATTAATATATATATCTTTATATATATCTTCTTATACTATCAATTATATTCTTCTTTTTATAGCCTTTTGCAAATTATATAAATAAGGTTTCCTTTTCCTCTTTATTCCAAATAATTCTGAAATACTCTTTTCTTTGAGTTCTTTAAATGAGTATTTATATTTATTGAAATCAATATCTATTATTCTAATAATAGTTTTAATATAAAGATTGAGGAGGCGATAAATATTATTTCCATCCATTCTAATTATAATATACTTTCCTTTGAATATTCTAGATTCGAATTTCTTGATTATCAGATCTGATTACTAAAAGTTTCTAGTCTATATTTTATAATCGAATATTCTGAGTTTCTTAAAATCAGATTGTCTACTATATATAGCCTTATATAATATTATTATTATAGAAAATATTTCTGTTTTTTTAAAAGATAATATTTTAATAAATAATCTATTCTTTAGATATATAGTATATTTGATAATGAATTTCTATATATTAAACTTAATATCTGATTCGCTTAATAGTGATCTTATTGTAATATTAATATCTTGAATCTTCTTTTTAGCTACTTCATTTATAAAATGCTTTTTAGGAGATAAAAATTCGAATATTAATTCTCTTTTTCTAATCTCTATTTGAAAAGATATACCAAATTTATTCTTTCTATTATCTATTTTAATAATAGTAATCTTATAATTGAACTCTTTCTTAATCTAACTAATGAAATTTATTAATATAAATATAATAATCTCTATAGATTTATTTTTTATAAGTTTGAGCCAAGTTTCTTTTATTGTATTATCAATAATTATAATAAAGTATTTGTTTCTATTTTCAAAAGATTCTTGAATTCCTAATAAATTTATATATAAGTATTATAGTTTTGTGAATATATAGATAACTATATATTTGTTAAAATACTTATTCATTCTTTTTATAAAACAAGGCTTATAAGCTTTTCGATTAGTATTTTTCTTTCTTTTAATATAGTATAATTTATTTGAAGCTTTCTTTAGCTTATCTATTTGATTATAATTAAGATAATCTAAATAATGATGTACAATCTCGACTTTATTGTTATTTGTATTAATCTCTTTTGTTTCTAAATCTATATCAATTATATATATTTATTGAATAAATGATTATCGAATAATATAACTATTATTAATACATCTTATAGTTATTTCTAGCTAACCATTTTTCTAGTATAATACTGAATCCCTTTTGAAGATAACTTTTCGATCTATTTCGATAAATGTCCTAACTAAAATGAATTGATTATTCCGAAAGTCCTTAATATATTAAATATCTCTTAATATAAAGTTTTCAATAATAGTTATTTTATATATAATATTTATAGAATATATATTATTCATAGTTTTAATTCTTTATGGAGTATTTCATTATATAACATTAAAGAGATTTTCAATAGAGTTAGTGAAGTAATAAGAAACTCTTGAATCAAGAATTTATATATCATTTTGGATTTTAGTATATATTACAATATAAGGATAAAAAGAACTAGTATATTCATTTATTATAACTATTTATATAAAACTATTATTTTCAGTCTTTTTATTTGAATATAAGGCTTCTCTAGTTTTATTGTATTCCCAGCAAGTATTTTGCTAGTATTCTTTCTTTTTATAGAATTTGCAAGTATGAGATTTAGTCTTAATAGCTTTATTAGAATTTGGCAAAGTAATATAATCTTTTTCAGATATATATTTTCTTTCATTTTCATGATATTCTCTATATCCTTTTCTGCCCTTTTCTTGAGTTCTCTTATTATCTCTTTCTTTTATATTTCCTTATATAGTATTAACTATTACTAAATAACTTATTATACTTTAAGGAATTTTCTTAGCTTATTATAAAGTATATAATACATCTTATGTATTTATATTTAATAATATAATAAAGTTTTATTATATTTATCAGACTTTTATATCTAATAGTATATTCAAAAGATAAAAATAGATCTTTATTTTGAATAAAGATTATATTATTACAGATAATTTATATTGATAGTTAAGGAATTGATTGAAAAAGAATTGAATCATTTTTATTTTAGGGTTGAATTATTTACAAGCAAATTATTATCAGAGATTCTGAGCATATTAAAGGTTTATATTATTATTAAACATTAAGAGTTTTATTCAGATTCCTGTAATATCTTTTATATCGATTATATATATAAATTGAAAGCAATACATAGAAATAATACAGAAATTGATAATAAAGAATACAATTCCCGCTTTTCTATTCTATTCAACAATATCAACTCAATCGCTCACTAATCTTATACTTTTCCCCATATATAAGAACAATACAAATACTACTATTATAATAATTCAAATAGCTTTATAGAAGTCTATCCAATTATAATTATTAAAAGTGATTAGTATTCCCTATTTTGTTTGAATTATATTGATAGTAATCTTACTTACTATAATATCAAGAGTAGGAATAACTATAAAGAAATAAGAACTTAAAACTCAAGGGATACAAAAATATAAAATAAAGCTTATAATAATATGATACTTATAATCTATCAAAAGTAGATAGTAAGTTATACATAATAAGTGATATATTGAATATATATATTGAATCTATATATCCAGAAACCCTAAAGAAAGAGTTTTATAGTGGTATGTACGTACTACACATGTACTACACATATAAATTCCAATAAAAATAATAATTATAAATATAATTATATAAAAAGCTTATTTGTAATTTATAAATTATTAACCTAAAAATTAATATATATAAATTTATCATAATGAAAATAGCCTCATAAAACTATATGACTTATTCACATAATTAATTATAGATTTACTAAGGTAATAAATCAGGTGCTCCGGAATAGAATATTTCAATAGAGATTACATACTGAATTAATACTCTATTCTGATAATTAGAACTTGTCACGCTAAAAGTGACACCACCAATAGCCTTAGGCTAATTGGGTTTATATAGGCTTAATTCTCTCGTGACAGAACTTGAAGTTTATCTAGTATTTATATTTCTTTCCCTTTACCCTCAACGCATCCCACAGCGCCCTCCTCGACTTCATGCCAATCAAGCTCGATAGCCATTCTGATTCATATCTTTTCAGCAGTCCCGTACGCTTCTCATGTAGCTCCTTCCAATATGTGAATATGAGAAGTCCATGCACTGTCTCAGTAGACTTTGTTACTTTTACAAATGCCTCCCCACTAACTTCCCCGAGTGTGCTCTCAAAGATGAGTGCAATGAGGGATGAAATGCCTTTGATAAAGTGCTGAGTATGGTGGCCAAGGAGAAAAGATAACTTTTGCCGTATGTAGTCAAAGGGGTTAAGCCTCGGATCAGGCTGGCTGATGTATGGATTTAGATATCGCATGAAGCTACAGAAATTCACTAAGTGTATGTAAAATCGGCCCTGATCGTTACCTTTCAAAGAGTCCCAGAGCAACAGGGAATGTCAAGATGTGGAACGTAATGAAATCATCTTGACCACTCAATGTGGTACTACATCCCAAACGAGAGCTTGATGTGTGACTGGGCTCTAGGACATCGGAGACGCAAAGAATACTCCCAAGAGAGTTGTACTTCTTTCATGAGAATACTGACAGGTTGTAAACCAGCTGTTCCCCACTCTCTAAGGCCATTTTCGGAAAGTGCGCCATCTGACTCTGCGCCAGGAGGCCGATTGATTGAACCGGTCGGTGGCGTTGACTTGGTTACATTGAGATGAATGTTTGGCTCCTCCGGGAATACCGAGACCTCACCAGAAAAGGGTTCGATTGGAGGTTTCCTCTTAAGTCTGAAAAGTTGATAAGCGAATTTCTTTCCCCTTCCTGTCGCGATTGGCCATATCGTGTGCCTGGCTTGCGGCCTCGACGATGTTGCTCGAAAACGCGATCAAGAGGGTTGCTTCCACAACGCTCGCAAGACCCAAGAGCCAACGACGTCTTGCATTTGATTTTTGCTCCACGGCAGGAGATGCATGCATTGTGAGTATATCCAGAATTCAGTTAAGTGCTGGCTGTACAGCAGGCGCTGACTGCGTTCTTACCTGGGACGTTTGAGCCGCAGGGTCGTTGACGTGTTATTGTTGTCTGAGTTGAGCGATGACACGGTGAGGTACAAAGCCCGGTATAAATCTAGGATTTGATTTAATCGAAAGGGAAGAAGGCGGAGAGCTGCTGCTTGCTACTGGGGTTGTGAGAAAGATTCTAGCGGCGGAAAACACGGGACAGAAGCTGGTGGGGCGCCATTTGGGAGCTGCTCACTAAATCCGAGCTTAAATCTAGGCTTCACGATGCTAAGCGCCTTCGCCGTCGCAATCATCAAGCAGCACGAAGCCGAATATTTGGTATTAATTTATACTCAGCTCAATTACCCTAAGTTAACCATAGCTTCTAGAGGGGAGTAGAAGGCAGTCATATGCTGTGGTTCGTTTACAATATCACATAACGACTTCGAGTGTGTAAAACCACCTTCTCATTCATAGTTTTTACGGTAAAAACCCCGAATGTCATCATTCCATGTATTGATACCTCAACTAGCATATGACAAAACGAAATATCATCATTTCGTTATACTATCACTAAATTTATAGACTAGCAAATTTCGAATCTAGTATATAACCTTTTAGAAATTAATGAAATAAAAAAAGAAGAAATAAAATTATTAATTAGAATTCAAGGAATTCAATTATATAATTTTTTCGGAATTATCTTTAAAATAAGAATTGAAATCTAATATAATAATATTTTAGTGATAAAGGGGTTAGTACTAAAACTTGATCACTGTAACAAAACTAGTTGGAAAATTATTAAATTGAAATTTAATTTCAATTTTTGAGATAATTCAAAATGAATTATTTTATTGAATTCTTTAAGCTCTAATCAATAATTATATCTTTTTTCTTTTATTTAATCAATCCCTAAAAGGTTTTGTATCAGATTGAAAGATTAATAAGCGTTACAAAATACTAGTTGAGATCACTTTAGTCATAAATCTGATATTTGAGGTATCAATACATGGAATGATGACATTCGGGGTTTTTACCGTAGTTTTCAATTCAACACTCTTGCGTAACATGATTGGGACCTACCGGCCTTCACAGGTGGAGGAGATGAAAATAAAGCACATTTGAAATAGGACTTCAACAAAACTCATTTTACTATATGCTACTTCAGAAGACAATCTCAGAAGCCTCAATTGGCACTGGGTTCTTTGGCGACAACGTGGCCACTGAGATGTGTGGCCAACCCATCTCATCAAAGTCCAATGTGACGTTCTGGGAGTATTGAATTTGGGTAGCGTCGAGCTTTACAGTCGTGTTTGGTGGTATCACCCTGTCCAGCTTCAATTCGAAAGAAGGAGAAACCACTATCTTGCCAACTGCTCTCTCCTCTTTCCGTGCTTCAGACTCAACAACTCTTGTCTCTTTTTTGTCCCCAGAGAAATCACCTTCTGGCAGCAGAACATCGTATTCAACAGTTGAAATCCAGTAATCACATCCGACATTGACGCCATGGGCATTAGGGCCTGGGTTTTGGCGGCCATCACGAATACCTGAGCCTTGCAGGAAAGCAATGTTTGCTGTGCCACCGCCGGGAATCTTAGAAACTACGGGGTCGGAATGGATTGAGAAGAAGAGGTGTTCTCGGATTTTTTTCTTCGTGCTGTTTTCATTGAATTCTTTTAGCATCTGGTTTGGATCTAGCATGAGAGATGTATTGAGTACGTCGCCATCCTTGATCTCTTGGGGAATACGCAGCTCGTATGTCCTCTTGAAATTCAGCTGAGGGAAAAAGTCTGCGAATGTGTTGACATCGCCGTGCATACCCATGGGGAATGGTAAGACTGAGATTGGTTTGATATTCGGGTTACCAGATATAGGTTTCTTCATGTCTGGTTCGAAGCCTTGGCAGTTGATGGCAGTTCCGTGTGGTATAGATGCTAGGCGTGAAATAGTACCTTGAAGAACCTCAGGCCTAATCTCAGTCGGTGGGGTCCTAAGGAATATGCCTGACTCGAAGTGAATTGGTATTCCCTCCTTCCGATCAGCCTGTCCTGTTTCGGGATTGAGCATGTCCTTGATCGTCTGCATGTATGGGACACCCTTCAAGATGACATCTCGTTGCCTGCCTAGGCCTCGGTTGAATATGTCGCCAATGTCCTCCAAGAATTGTGTGTCCTCTTCTGTCACGTTGTACTCCAGAACGTTATTCCTCCTGTTGTTTCCCCAGGATGGGCGGAAGATCATGTTCAACCCAGCACCGTGGAAATCCCCAGTGAGCTTGGCAAGGATATTAAGTTCCCCCGGAAGTGGATCATAGTCCTGGTCAGCTCCTCCACTAAACAGCGGGAAGGATGCAAGGCCCTTGTTCACATCGGGCTCGATGTTGGGTTTTGGTGAGGTGAGACCATCAACTTGCGTTAACTTGAACGAGGTCGGGACATTGAGAAAATTGGTGTCCTTGTTCATTTTGAGTGCTATGCTAGTAGAGAGTTTGATACAAAAATTGAAGAGGGAACAAAAAGGTGTATGAGTGATCTCGAAAAGGAGCAAATAATCAAGCCTAGTATCAGTATATATATACTGAGTCCGTTCCCTCCTATCGGAACGGGACTCGGCTGCTCAATGGGTACCTATGGGTGGGTAATTACATCTCTTCAACCTACCCCACATACCCTAAGAGGGCCCGTGACCACTCAATGTGTGCCCCAACCCACCCGGTGGGTAGGTGAGCAGCCTAGCCTTAGGTACCGACTCGACTATCCAACCTTGAAATTCCGAATTGATGCCATGCAGATGCCTCAGCTTCGATCCTGTGCATGAACGTTTTCTCCCATCTATCATATCAATCACATTTGTCCCATCGCATGAAGCTATTGAAATGTTGTGCATCAAGCTGAAGGACCCTACGTCGATCATATTTGTCCGATTGCATGAAGCTATTGAAATGTTGTGCATCAAGCTGAAGGACCCTACGTCGATCATATTTGTCCGATTGCATGAAGCTATTGAAATGTTGTGCATCAAGCTGAAGGCCTGATTAGCTCACCAATTGCGCGCCAACCTTCCTATCCACGATTTTTAGCTCTCAACAGATTACACTGCAGTACCTTTCACCCAACTCGCAAGTCGAGAAAGCGCTGTTAATGGTCAGATAACATAAATCAAATATTACTTATCTCTATAGACGTTGCGTACATGGTACTACCTGATAATGTGTTGGATCTTGGTCCTAGAATGCTAGAGCGTTTCACCAATAATCGTTTTACTACTATATAGTATAATGATACTGTGCTTGTGGCTGGAGAAACCAAAGGGTTGGGCTTTAATGGCTCGGCTCCAGGTTAGCCAGTATTTCTTTTCTATACTGTATTGTTCAGCTTGTCTCATATGTAGGGCTATCATAGGATAACCACAATTTATTTGACACCAATGTCGGTGTATTGTACAAACATTAATTCTAAGCTTGTACGAGTATAGTATAGTGATTGATGATTTGGCTTACCCCGCAGTCGATAACAATTTAGATACTATGATTAGTATGAGATCTAGATTCCTAGATCTGAGGCTATTCGCCGTTTACTCCGCGGGAGGGGCCGACGACCCCTAGCTTAGATTTAGACCCCTTTTTACGGAGCTCTATTCCCGATTATTGCCATAATATTGAGGATGGCAACCAGCTGCTTTCCCTATATTCTAGGTCTTCAGATAAATCTAAATCAATACATTTCTACCTCATAATCTTACAATCAGTAAAGGAATGTTGGCAATAACTAGTCTAATGATAAATGACCTTATTGGCTCATACTTGTCACACCTTTTTCATATGCTTTGATTTTGATCATATTTAAAATATGAGTTCATACCAAAAAGTCTTCTTGCATTGCATATCTGATGCAATATGTGCTTCCATTACTCAGTTAGAGTGAAAATAAACCAAAGCGTCTATGAGAAACTTGCTCACGAAAAAAAGCGTGCATACAGTAAAATGCAATCTGCAGCGCCATCACACAGCTTCCCCGCTTCACAATTCAACCGTTCAGTCACTCGATCCGAGCCAATCTTTACTTCACACTTGATCCAATCCGCTCCCCGCACTCGATCCGGGCCGTTCTCTGCTGCGGAAGGAGACTTTTAGAAGCTGAAAGAGAAGCGCCGAGATGTACGCGACGAAGTCGTGAAAATGGACATAAGATTTCATTTATCATACAGACCATCTCCTCTTCTTTTACGACGCAGATTCTTCCGAGCTCCTCCTCCTCAGGTCAATTTCCTAGTTGTTTTGCCACACTCACTACTTGAGTGTCGCCAATACAACCTTCTCACACACCCGGGCTTCAACCCCACTTCGAAGCAAACATGAGCGACAAAACCGTCTACGGAGAATGGGCACCAAAATTCCAACTTGGAAATTGCGCTATTCACCTTCACCTACTACCGACTGGCAAGGTACTTTACTGGGGTCGACGCTCTGCTGTGCACAGCATGGATTATTGGACCCTCAATGAGCACAAAACCCACGTCTACATCTTGGATATCAACACCCTAGAGAGTAAGCGCACCACTCAAGACCCGATGAACGAAGACGAGCTTTCTGTGAATCTCTTCTGTTCCGGGCACACGTTCCAACCAGACGGTACCTTGATTATCTTTGGTGGACATGTCCTGGATGGCTTCGGGGAAGACCAAGCTTGTGTTTACGATCCCTTCCAAGATAGGTGGACGGTAATGCCTATGATGGCTGCAGGTCGCTGGTATCCCTCTGCTATAACTTTGTCTGATGGTAGAGGCCTTGTTGTGTCGGGCAGCTCACAAGATGTCACAAACCCTGTGATCAACCTGGTCCCCCAGATTTGGGACTCACATTCAAGTACATGGGGCATAGTCCAAACGCCTCTCGTTGATATTTTCGCTCTTTACCCGCGGCTTTACCACGTTCCAGACGGAAGAATATTCATGGCAGGCCCATTGAGAAGCTCTCGTTTTCTTGATATGAATGCTCATGGTGGCCATGGTGAATGGTCGAGCGATGCCGATTCGCCATTCCGCAATGCAGGTCAGCGCGAGTACGCCGCTTCAACTATGTATGATAGTGGCAAGATTCTCTACGTTGGTGGTGGAGGTGGTGATGCTGTTCCTCCCACCAATGCTGTAGAGATCATTGATCTAAACGACCCAAAGCCACGCTGGGAATATACGACTGAAATCGGCCATGGGCGCCGACATTCCTTTGCTACTACGTTGCCCGATGGCACTGTGCTTGTAACTGGAGGAACCAAAGGGTTAGGCTTCAATGACTTGTCTCCGGGTCAGCCCGTACATGAGCCTGAGCTGTGGGATCCTACTTCTACTAAATGGTCCACGATGGCCCCGGAGGACGATGATCGCTGCTACCACCACACCGCACTACTACTGCCCGATGGCACAGTTCTTTCAGCTGGTGGTGGGGAATACGATCCGGACAATCAAAAGAGACCCAACGAGCCTGAACACACTCTGACCACCGCTCAGATATTCAGCCCACCTTATTTGTTCAAAGGCGAACGACCGACCATTAGTAAACCGCCAGAGGTTGTCGACTATGGCCAGAAATTCAAAGTCACAGTCGGTGAACACGATGTGATTGGCAAGGTGAGCTGGACACGGCTTGGATCTGTCACTCATTCACACAACATGAACCAATCGTTCCAATTCTTGAAATTTGCAGCCAGTGGGACAGAGGTCACCATAGAAGCACCAAAGAATCATTTTTTGGCTCCACCAGGTCATTACATGCTTTTCCTTGTGAGTCAGGAAGGCGTACCAGCAGTGGCGCCTATCATGCTGCTCAGGCCGGACATTTTGATACCTGTACAACCACAACTGCCCCCTGGGTTATCGACACAAAATGCTGTTTTGGAGAGAAATATCGGCGTGTCCCTTGAGATGCGCAATCAGAAGGTCGTCTCGGAACAGGACGGGCCACCTGTCATTGTTGGTCTTACGCCCACCTGTCCCTACGGTCTCGGTGCTTGCTGGGGCGGAGCTTATGAAGCACTGAACAACATCAAAGATATCAAGACCGTCCTTCCAAGACCAAATGCGACCATCTCAGTTGCCTTCGTTTACCTTCACGATGACATTTTGCCCGATATTGAAGTATGGCGGAGGGAGCTCTTCGAGATCGACGGTGGCACGTACACTATGCGCGGCATTGAGATGACACTCACTGGTGTAGTTACCAAGAATGGCAGGCAATTAACACTATCCGGTACATCGACTCGATCTGAAGTGGTTCTTAATCAGTTCCTGGCAGGTAGCAAGCTCGAATGGGATAACGTGGCGAAGGTGCCCATGCCACCTACCAAGGAAGAAGCCAGCGCATATACCCGGTTATACCAGACAGTAGTCTCTCATCCAGAGGGATTGTCGCTGCAGGTGACTGGGCGGCTGCAAATGGACGAGAACAACAAGTACTCTTTGGATGTGAAAGGCTTTATGGAACCTTCAAAATCAGGCTAGGGTCACACCACACAGGTATCGGTGTTCTTCATTTGAATCAGAGTAATACACCATGCAGCTTTTATGATTTGGCAGTCTGATTTGAGTCGTCCAAGGCAGTGTTACGGCGTGCCTTCGGGAGCCACGTGGAAGGGTTTATGTGGAGAGCGACAAGTAGTAGATTGAGATCAGAGCAGTTGTAACTAAGTAAAAAAATTACTATTTGAGTTAAGTATGAAGCTTTATATATTAAAGAAACCATCTATTTATGTAGACCTTTATGCCAAAGTGGACTGATAGACTTTTTATTAGATTATCTTCGGAGAGACTGAGAGATAATCTCTCTTTCTATATTCCTACCGGAGATTTTACTAAGAGTACTATTATAGTGTCACGGAAATCCCCGTGTGGTGTACATACACATGATCGTGCACATGAGTGATCGCATTGCGATTGAATGCGATCCGTGATATCATACACTTTTCTCCAAAAAGCATAAACCTAATATTTATTCCTAGTCGCATTGTTACATACCATATATACCTACTATATAATAATAATAATAATAATAATAATAATAATAGATTCGCCACATCGACCCTATCTAGATTCCGATACTTTTACCCCTTCCCCTCTATATTATTCTCCGTGGTAAATTTCATGCTCGGTCTTCTCAACAGTAATTTCAATTTCACTTACTTATCCCATCTATCAACCAGTATTACAAATTGTCTTTATCATTTACATATAAATTTATCTTTATATTTTTAAGAAAGAAAAAAAATCACATCCTACCTACAAACTACCATCACCATCACCAACCGCACCTTTCCCCCCACCCCCTGACCCCTCACAAAACCTTCAACCCTCCATCTCCCCCAGCCCCAAGTACATCAATTCCCTTCCCCGGCTTCGCATTCCCCTCTCCCATCTCCTTTCCCCTCTCTTCCACCCTCCCCTTACTCCTCCTCCTCGCATCCAAATAAACCATAAACTCCCTGTAACTCTCCGGCAAAACCTGCACCTCCCCCTCCACCTCAAACGTATAATTAAACTGTCCGGTCGGTTTCGTCTCGCCATGTTCTACATTCTTAACCTTCGTGTCGACTCTTATCTGTACCCTCGTTTTCTTTCCTTTCCCCGTCTCCGCCTCTGTCTCTGTCTCCGCATCCCCCTCCCCCTCACAAGCGGCCGATTCCCATACACCAGCGTAGCACTCACATACAGCACACTACCCACGGGCACAGGATTCTCAAAAGTACTCGGATCCAGACCCAGGAAAATAGGACGCGAATGCGAAATGGCCGATGCGCAGGTAAATGCGAGTTCGAAAGTGGATTTGAGGAGGAAACCGCCGAAGATCATGAAGTTGTGGCGGTTACGGTATTGGGGCTGCATGATTTGCACGGATTGGATGGTAGAGTTGGACATGCGAGTGCAGGTTTTGGGGAGGAGAGAGGGGGTGTTGGGGTCTAGGGATGATTAGTGGGTGGTGGGTTGATTTGGTTTGGTTTCTTGTGGGGGTGAGGTAGAGGTAGAGGAGGTAGAAGTTGAAGACGAAGGGGGTAGAGGATGAAGGGGTTGGTGGGAGATGGCTGGGGTAATATAATTGATGTATAAAAATATCAAAGGAACTTTCCCTGCTTGCTCATTCCAAACAAGCCATCAAAATGAAACGCAATGCAACGACAGAGCTTCCATCTTCATTCCCCACCACACCTGCCCGGAATCCGAACAGAATCCTTCAACACAAAAAGAAAAGAAAAAGAAAAGGAAGAAGAACCAAATGCAACATACCATGATAATCCAACGTCTTCAACCACAACCTATGAATCAAATCACTCTCCTCATCATCCGGTTCCATACTCCTCAACCCCCGTCCCAACTCCCTCTTCTTCTTCTCATAACTCTTCCTGCCTCTCTCAAACCAACTTTCCTCCACTTCCCCCTCCGGCCTCACCCCCGCAATCCTCACCGCTTTCTTCGTAACCGGATCTAGCGACACCATCGTGAACGCACATTCCATGAAAACATCTTCTTTCCTCCTAGGTTGATTTTCCTGTCCGACAGACGGGACTTTGCATACTTGCAGCGAGACTTCCATGCTGGAGCGCCCGGTGGCAAAGGTCACTTGGCCGGATAATTCGAGATCGCAGATTTCGAGGAGGGGGCGAGAGAGCGTGATGCGGTCGACGGCAGCGGTGACGGTCATGACGCGGTCGCCGGTGTGTTTGTAGGAGATTACTCCGGCGAGGGCATCGAGGTCCTGATGTGGGTGTTGGTAGGTATATTTTTATCTTCCTCCCATTCGTGCGTCTCATCTCTTCGCTTTTCATGAGTTCTCACAAACCCCTTGTAAGATTCCTTCCAACTCACCCAACAAATAGAAAACAAAAAGAAAAAAACTCACCATAAAAATAGCTCCCAATCTAATATGTCCACTTGCCGTGATATAATTATCCAAAAGCCAAGGATCGCTTGCTAATGGTAAAATCTACAAAGCACATATCGTTAGCATCTAACTCTCTTGTTCTTTCCTCATTCCCCCTACTCCATGGATCCTTGTTGTGAAAAAATAAGATCCTCGAGAACCCAAGATTATCAATCCCCTTTGATATCGAACTTCAAACATCAAATATCACATGACCTCACACCTTCTCTTCTCCTCTTTTCTCCTCTCTCTTCCCCTCTTCATCCTTCCCCCTTTTCCAAACTCAATTTCATCTCTCATCTCATCTCCCCACCACCCAATCCCCCACTCTCCACTCTCCACTCTCCACACCCCCAACTTCCCAAAAACCCATACACAACAACAAAGGAAAAGACTCACCACCCTATGAAAACTATCCCTCATGCTCTTCATTTCCAATCCCTCTCCCTCTCCTCTCTGCACCACCTTCTCCTTCTCACCCCCCACCTTCTCCTCCTCCCCCTCCTCCACATCCCTCCCCGCCTTCTTCGCCTCCTCTCTCCTAAAAGCCTCAATAAACGGCACCCTTGTCCTCATCGCCGTCAACTCCCTATACACACCATCTGTTTCCCTCCTCATACCTGTCGAAAAATTCCTCGCATAACCATTGCGAACCTGATTTCCCGCTCGCATCCGCAATCGCCCTAACGATTTCATCGGCATCTGAATCTTTAATCTCGCTATACTTGTCATTCTCGGGACTCAGGAGTAGAATAGAAATAGAAATAGAAATAGAAATAGAAATAGAAATAGAAATAAAAATAAAAATAAAAATATAGTATGTATCAATCAGCCAGCAGCCAGCCGATCAGTCAGTCAGTCAGTTATGTAGGTATCGTAACGGAACGTACGTATGACAAGTATCGAATTATCGAATGACTGATTTATCGACCTATTCACTCAATCAAGGTTACACAAACAAACAGACACAGGAGTCGCGAAACTCTAGATCTCTACACCACACATCCCCCCACCACTCGGCTACAACCTGAGCACGGAAGAATACGGGATTGGCCACATACATACATGCATACATACATACATAACCTAGGCACGATAGCCGATCTAAGGAACCTACTCTACTACTCCACCGTAAACAGAAAATCCAAACCCGCACGCCAGAAATATAATCTCACAACTCATTATAATTTCGATTTCGACGATTTCGGGCTGGAATGTGATATCCTATTTTTTCCGTCCCTAGTGTACTTACTTACCGTATTACTCACTACTCACTCCCCCAGCAAACAAGCATAAATGTTTTCCCGGCTATCCACAGTCCCTACCTCGCCTACCCACCGATCCCACCAGCCCGCTTGGGAGGTATCCGGTGTCTGCACATTTTGTAATCTGATGGTTGTTTTTCGATGAGCGCCGTGATGAGGAAAGAGTAGAATGGTGTTTATACATATGAATACCTAGTACCTAACTATCATATATACGCCAACCTAACCAATCAATCTAACCTACCTACCTATCTATCTATCTATCTACCTACCTACCTATCTCCCAGCCATCCAACAAAAAAACAAATAACAATACCCGCAAAATCTCCTCTTTGTTTACCTCTATTATATCGATTGCATCACAGTCCAATCCAATCCAATCCAATAAATACAATTTTGAAATCCGACATCAATCACATCTCCTCAATGATATCTTCTCAATCACATACGTTTCACACACAAGTATAAGTATATATGCCCAGGTGAGTACAGACAGATCACATCTTTGCACATACATGTACCCAAGAAGGTAGGTAAATTCTTCTCATGTATCAATCTAGGAAGTTTCGCTTTCGTCAAGATATGTTCAAGAGACATACACCTTACACTCAATCAAGCAAACCTCTCTCCCCTCAATTCACAATTCACCATTCACATCCTCACAAGGCAGATCACGCAACAACGAAATCCAAATCACAGTAGGAAAAAAGAATTGCATCAATCAAAAATTATTCGATATAAACCCCCCTTAAAGCCCAAACAAACAAAGCCCACATGATTTTCCCACCTAAAAAACACCTTGCCTACAATAAAACAATGCATCCAGCTTCTCCATATCGCATCGCCTAAAACTTCCTCTTCTTATATGTACCTCCTTGTTTAGGTTGACTTCCGTAAGGTCTCTTCTTCTGCGCGGTATCCTTCATTCCTGCCGAGATATTTATGTCTACTCTTGGAGGAGCATCGAATCCAAAACTCTTAGCGACCTTGATCAGATCCAACTTTCCCACATCAAAGACACTTCGGAGGGAGTGACTTGCGTAAGCTTGAAGATAACTCTTGTAACCTTCCTTGGCGCTCTTATTTAAATAGTAGTTTTGTGCGATTAATTTGGAAAGTTGACTTTGGATATTGACGATTTTTGATGCTGGGAATTCGAATTCGACAACGGGGATACGAGCAGTCTTGAGATGAGTAAGGAAACCAACTTCAGATGGTTGAAGGAAGAGAAGGGAACGTCCCTTTCCGTCGCTACCTCGAGCAGTTCGACCGACACGGTGAATATAATCTGTTGGATCATCGGGAGGATCGAATTGAATTACCCAGTCTACGTCAGGAATCTGTTGAACACACGTTAGCTTTGTCGATTGAGAATAAATTGCGTGATAAAACTTACATCAAGACCTCTAGCTGCAACGTCTGTGCAGATAAGTGTACCTTGTTTAGCATTGCAGAATTCAAAAAAGGTATTTGTACGTTTTTGTTGCTTCTGTTTGCCATGCAAGTCGAGAACGGGTAGATCGATATAATTGAGGAGTTCGGCATGATATTTAACACAAGCGCAACTGGAGAAAAAGACAATGATCTTCTTCTTAAGGTTGCGCTTGAGGAAAGAGAAGAGTAAGAGGAATCGTTTATCGGAATCGCATACGACGTAGCCTTGTTCGAGACCTTCAACTGTACTGTGTTCCTTTTTGTTATCGACATTGATGTAAAGAGGTCCTGGACGGAGGGAAATTCTTGCGAGATCTTCGACTTTGGTAGTTTGTGTTGCGGAAAAGAGCATGGTTTGACGATCATCCTTTGGTAAAACCTTGACGATTTGCTTCATCTCATCTTCGAAACCAGCTTCCAGAATTCTGTCTGCCTCATCGATAACCAATGCCTTCAAGTTCTTGAAAACAAATCCTTGTGTATTTTGTAAATGATCGAGAAGTCGTCCTGGTGTAGCAATCAAAAGATTGACTCCCTTTGCCAATTTCTCCGCCTCTGCTCTTCGATTTGCGCCACCCATGACAATACCATAAGTCTGCGAATGATGAGCCATGATTTCCCTCGCGACTCCAAAAATTTGCAATGCCAATTCTCTTGTAGGTGAAACGACGATAACACCAGTACCGTTTCTTGGTTTGAATCGCAACGAATGTAACATCTCAACCGCAGGAATTAAGAATGACAATGTTTTGCCAGAACCCGTCTTTGCAGCACCGAGAACATCTCTCCCTGCCAATAGTGGTGGAATACCTCTTCGTTGAATTTCGGTCATCGTCTCAAATTTCATGTCTTCGACGAGGGCCTTCATGGTTTTATCAGAAAGGTTAAGTTCTGAGAACTTTTCGACCGACGACGCATCTCCGACATCTGGTAAAGTCAAGTGCTTATTCTCGTCCACCTCCACCTCTACATCACTTTGGTAATCGGTTGTGGAACCCATTTTGAATGTTGATTGTGAATTCGTGCAGTGAGATTGATATGGATGCGAAGTCAAACTTGACGAAAGCGATTGAAAATTATTTTTATACGCTAAGAAGTTGAGATAAGAATTTGCATTGGGGCTTATCCATTGGTCGAAGTTTAATCCACAGTTAGTGTGAGATTTCGAGTGAGTCACGTGAGCACATAATTCGACCTTCTAGACAGACATGCTCGAGGCATGTTGAGATTCTATTTCACACATTACAAAATCGAAATCGAAACATCATCTTTTCCCACTCCCAATTTTTTCCCCTTGTATCCTCTCCTCTATAGATCCATGGCCCTTTCCCCAACCCTTCCCCTTTCACAATCCAAGAACAGAAGATCATTCATATTCTTATCCTCATTCTGATTTTCATACTTCTCACAATTGATTGTTGATTGTAATTGTGTGTATTGTGTATTTGATTCTTTTATACAGGTTTGTTTATTCTCCTTCCTATCTCGAATTCTCTCATCACCTATTCATTCATCCACCTATCTCCCCTCTCCCCTCTCCCACCTCCTCCCCAGCCTCCACTCTATTCCTTTACTTAATCCCCTCCTTCAAGTCCATCTATCCCTTCACATATATCCGCCACTGCAGTCCACACCTTTATCGACATCTCTCCCATATTCACCATTCATCCTCCATACCATCTCTTCCTCACCATCCAACAAGCACAAATGAAACAGACCAATTCAATAACCTCCCTCCGAATCCCATTCCCAACACAAGAAAAAAGCCCAATTGCAAGACTGAACCAAAAAGCAAGGCAAAGATAAAGAAAATCCACTCTTGAAAAGAGTACTATGTCACTTAAGACTTTATGATCCTAATGCAAAAAAAAAACGAATCGAACAAGAGAATTACAAAATAACACCTTCCAACCCCAAAATATTTCCTCTTTGATGGTGTTTGTTTTACGTGTAAAAACGTTCCCAACTACCATCTATCAGCCAATATATTTCAATTCTCAACGCCTTTTTATGAAGCCCCTTCATTAATGATCATAACCTGCTCCACGTTGCCAAGGACTATTATATTGATTAGCTTATGTCCACATCTGAAATCTATCAAGGTAAAATTCTTACCTAGCATTGCTCTGGTTCTGATTCTGTTGTCTGAACCCCCCTGGTGCAGGACTACCACTGTTTTGTGACCTATATCCTGTCGACAAATTAGATGTCGATTGATTATCTCTATATGGAGCTGGCGATGCGTTGTTCGATCTATCACTTCCATACATCAACGGAGCATTGCTGTTTGGTCGTCCATCTTGATAATTTGGGGGCGGCCCACGGGAGCCAGCTGCTGGGAAAAGAGGAACCGAAGGATCGATAGGTGAATTAGGTGCTTCTCTAACTGATGGATTCGTATCTCTATATGCTCCGGTACCGGCTGTAGAAGGTGGAAGTGGTGTATTTGCTGGGTTTCTCATGGAATCCGAAGACCATGAATCGTTGTCATCATCTAAATCGAGGTTGTGTTTGTATCCCGCTTTATCGCCTCTAGCAGTAGCTCCCAAAGCATCCAACTCGGTAGTCAAGCCAGTGTTCGACTTGATGAATGATGCACGATCATCAGTCATTGGCAAGTAACGACTATCTGGGTTCTTGCGAACAAAAGCATAGATCGTAGCAAGTAAAACAAGAATGAGAAGGACCAAGGAAAAGACTGCGTTGATGATAAAGAAGATAACCCCCATCACACCAGTGACGATACCTGGTTGATTGAAGATATCCGTGAAAACCAAAAGGAAAATAGTATTTAAGAAGTTGATAGCACAAATGGCGATATTGAAAGAATTAGTACTTCTGTCCATCCATGGTCGAATGACACTAGCTCCAATTAAAGCCGCTGCTTCAATCAAAAGAAGGGCAATAGCTTGAACGGTAGATGCGTTTTGTCCAAATGCGATGAACATTCCCTTGATCAAAATGTGAAACAATGTTGGGAGAATGAAATAGTAAGCCGTTGCT